AAGACATCGAACATGTATTATGGTACTGTCCATTATACTCAGATCAAAGAGAAATTCTAAACAATCAGCTTTCCAAGATAAATCCAAGACGCTAATATGGTACAATTACTTTATTCAAAAATACTAACAATGTGGCTTGTAACTACATCGTTAACATCTTTGAAAACTGTAATCTACTTATACAGTAAATAAGAAAAGAATTTATTTTAAGAAAAAGAATATGAACAAAACATCATTGTTATATTCTATAAATATAATTCTATGTATAGCGAATAAGTCTCTATCAAGATTTAAAAGTTTAATTAAGGAAAATACCTCACAATTAATTTTAATGCATGCTTGCGTCTCTATTTTTCTTTTCAGTGGAAATTAGCAGAGATTGTTATAATACCTAAACCCGGTAAAGAACCGGAACTGGTAACGTTGCGCAGGCTTTTGACAAGGTTTAGCATAAAGGGCTACTGCACACGTTTAAGAGATTTTTTCCTCAGCTCCACTACGAATTGTTACAGTCTTATCTACACAATAGAACCTATCAAGTTAAAATAAATAAAAACGTATCAAAACGTCAGCTAATAAAAGCAGGAGTACCACAGGGCAATGTTCTAGATTCAACACTTGTAATGCGGTGCATTACAAGGCTTTACCTGAAAGTGTTGCACTATTTGCAACACCTCAAAGGAGCCATCTCCGTCCCTTGCCGCTCCGTGACCAACTGAATAATTATACCCGACTCGCGCCCTAACTGATAAAGTGTTTTATTTCTATTTTCGCCCATCAACGCCCGAGAAAATGACGCAACAAGTCGAAGAACGCGATCCGACAGATGGACGAAAAACGGAGTGGATGACGGGAAAAAGACAGAGCGCACGCACCTACACACTCCCGACCACGTGTTGCCGGCTGGAGGAAAAACACGGAAAACTTGACTAGGAAATGCAACGGAAATGCATGTTAGCGATACATGCGGACCCGTTACACTCCCAGACACTAACACGAACACTTTGAAGAAGCTGATACTTTTGGGGCGACCAGAAAATCGTCGATGAAGCGGCAGCCGGCAATCAGCTGTGTCAGACTGCTGCGGACCATCGGCGACATCCTGAGCGGCACACACACACACACAATGCTGTTGACCACTGATAACACCCGCAGACACACACACATAACACCCGGATACACACGTACACCACACGACCGAGGGAGAACGCTCCAGGAGCCGCTTCGGAGACCGGCAGCAGAGCACGAGGTTAACACGCGGGAGTGAGGGCGGCCATTTTGAAGAGCGATATAGACTAAGCGGGAGCGAGCGAGATAGACTATATGAAAGCGAGCGAACTAGAATAAATACCATACTAATTCGTACGCAAACACGCTGATGAGGGCACTACGAGGATAAAACCGACATACAACTATTGTATCATTGTAAAATATCTAGCGATGCGATTTAGAATATGAAACATATTAATATAAAAATTAGAAAATACTTGTATGCGGCCTCTATAATCCTTTAAGCGTATTAATAAGCGACAAACAATCTGACAAATTAAATTGAAAATTGATTGATTAAATTTGAATCTCTGACGAAAAGTCTCGATTACATCACGACCAATAAGCGAATTAGAATAAAATTTGATTTCCGTCCATAACGAAAAATAAATAGGAATAGGGGTAGATTTTTCTCATCAATTAATGCTGGCTGACTTAGTACGGGGAGGGGGGGGGGGGTGAGAGAGGATAAATAGCGACGAAGTAGGAGATAAAATGAAGGCGCTGTTACTTTTCTAATTTGCATATTGACCAATGACGAAATATTCGGAGGGCGCTACCGATATCTGAATTAACATATCGGCCAATAAATGAATTTCTTCTCGGAAAGAGGAGAAGAAAAAGAATCTTTGACCGCGGAGAGCCGTTTCTCGTCTATTTTACTGCTAATCGCTACCGCTGTAGGAAGCAATTCCCGGATTCGCTGAGTCCGTAGAAGGACTTTAAGTTTTGCCGAGTGAGTCTTCAGCCGTAATCTGTAAGTAGGCAAAGTGCCACTCACTAGTGATAATTGCGAAGTGCGGTACGTGATTTCTCGTGCGAATAATCCCGTCGTGACGCGTGGATCCGTCGACGCCGGGAATACAGTGCTCCGATCGAGTCGCGTTGACCACCCGCCATTTCTCGAGCTAGCGTGAGTGTAAGAATCGAGGGGGATTTAGATATCTAGATGTAGTTCGAATTGCTGTTACAAATTGAAGATCGAGCGTATTTGTTCGTCGCAGATTTGATTCGCTGAGACGTGTGGATTCGTTTCCGCTATACATTAAATCGCGTCAAGACGCGCTGATCATCCGCCATTCCGACCACATCTGTACCTTAGTCACCGAATAAAGGAAAGTAAAGCGTAACCAATTTTTATTATTTACGTCTCGTTGACCCTTCCTTCCCTGCATGCTGATTTTGTTTTCAGCCGCAGACGGTAGGTAGCGAGAATTCTTTTGTTTGCATTACTGGTTCCGAGCATTAGGTGACCTACGCGCTAAATCGAACGAATCTCCAACCCGAGACGAGTTGTATCCTAAGCTGCCGGTACTTCCAGGACGCGAGAGGACGGAGAAGATCGACGATTGGTTGGTACCATCGGCCTGAAGAAGAGGAAATCGCCGTGAAGTTGTCAACTTGCCCACTTTGCGTAGTCGCACAGTGCGTAAATAGACCTACGTTGCAATTTTCCGACCCTATCCCCGACGATCACAGTAAATTGGGAATGGCGGTCTGGCGCTCTTATTATTAGTCGGGGGAAAACGGTCCAATCAGGCCTTATGGCGGAAGTACTTCGAGTGCGTGACTGAAACCCGTTGAAATTCTCTGCCACACACTATATCTGTTATGTACGTACCTCAGACCTACCAAGGTCTATTAATATCTTAACAGCAACATATGCAGATAACACAGTTATTACAACAGTATACCCAGAGACAATAATAGTAACCAAAACATTACAAAACTACGTAAAAAATCACCTTCAAAATTGGTTTGACTTCTGACGAATCATAGTAAACGAAAGCAAATTGATACATACGACATTCACACTTTAAAAAGATACCTGTCCTCCTATTAGATTAAATGAGAAATATATTCCATAAAGCAATCAAGTAAAATATCTAGGTATTCACCTAGACCAAAGGCTTACATAGAAAGAACATATATTTGCTAAACATAAACAGTTGGGTTTAAAATAGAGGAAAATGTACTGGCTCTTCGGAACAAAATCGGAGCTGTTAATTGAAAACAAACTGCTGCTACATAAAGCTGTTCTTAAACCAGTCTGAACATATGGTATTCAACCATAAGGTGTTGCTTTTTACTTGAATATCGAAATCCTACGCAATATAGTACGAGCACCATGGTTCGTACCTAATGAAAATATCTGAAATGATTTACAGATACCTAAAGTTAAAGAAAAAATTTAAAAATTTTACGCAAAATATAATTTTGGACTTCAAAACCACCGAGATAAACTTATCAACAAACTTCTCAAGACAGCCATCGCTAACACCAAGCACATAAGCAAATAAATTAACATAATTATTTTAATCATATTGTAAAACAAACATAGTATTCTTATTAGAGTATATTGCTGTCTATTATGTGGGTGTGTGTGTGTGCGTTCGTGTGTGTGTGCGGGAGTGTGGATGTCTAATAGCAGTAACATTTGCTTATTGTCTCTATACGTGAGACAGATTGTAAATAAATTTAAAGTAATAATAATAAAAAAAAATTCGTTCCTTATGCTTTGTCAATCTTCTTTTCTGTCTTAATCTTACTGTAGTCTTTAAATCATATGAAGTACGGTACTAAGAGTGACCGGCGCCGGTCCAAGCCGTGCCAAAGCCGCTCGTTTTTTCTCAGTCGATAAAGGTGTGACATCTAGAGGGGCGAAGCGGAACTACATTGTAATATCTTTGAACTAGGTCAAATGTGTATAATCTAAATCTAATTTCACGGTAAGTTCGTTTGATTATTCTATTATGCCTAATTTATACTCCTTCCCCCCCCCCCCCCATATGTCAGCCCAGAAAATTGCTCAACATTAAGAAATAAAAATTTATCAAAGGAAAAAATTATCTCAGTCGGAAAATTTTTTAACTAACTTTATAAAATTATAGCTTCGTTAATCATAATATTTCTCAAATTTATACATTTAAAAAAATTGCTAATTATTCACATTAATTTGCCATGAAACGGTATACATAGTGACTAAACTATTTTTTACAAATAATTGAAATAACATAAACAATATTTAATTACAATGACAAAGCAGTTCTGCGCATACGCATCGGTCATTTGTAATTTACAGATAATAAACATTATACATTTGGTATTGAAAAGAGTGATTGGCAATCAATAGTAATGCATTGCGATATTGTTGTTAATTGTTTTTGATCAAGACAGTTAATAGCTAATAATTATGTAGTATTTACATCATGAGCAGGAATTTCGCAAGATAAGTTGTTAGTCAAAGTAGCAAAATCTGTAACTACTAATTGTCTTGATAAATAATAATCAACAACAATATCTCAATACATTGTTGGTATTACCATTCACTGTTTTCAATGTTATATGTGTAATGTATACTAATTACAAATTACAAATGGTCGACGCGCATATGTAAAGCTGCTTTATCGTTGTAATTGAATATTAACAATATTATTTTAATTTTTTTGAAAAAAATATTTTAGCTTTTATATATAACGTTCCGAGGTAAATTAATATCAATAATGAGTAATTTTATGAGATATTTAGATTTGAGAAATATTTTTGATGAAAGTATTATTTCTTAAAATTAATTTAAATCTTCTCTACTTTTAAAATTTTTTCTTTTGATATGCAAATATGACAAATTATTTGGAATATATAGACTATCATAGCAAATTTAATAAATATCATCGTAATAAATAAAATTTTTAATGTTCGCCATTTTCATGGACTGATCTGGCGCGGGGGTCTCTATTTTATTTTGTCAAAATAATAAAAGTTACTTAGAAACAAACAATATTTTCAGTTTATTTGACCATTCAACCAGTGAGCAAACTATCAGATCGATTACTTGAATTATTCAACATATTTTCAAACATTAATTTTGAAATCATTGATCTTATCAACTTAATCAATTTCTAAACGACTGATAAGAAAAATAACTGTTAAGTAGGTAAACCTTATTAATGTTTTTAAGGTAATAATCTGGCTCGCTATTTATATTCATACATCTGAACATATTAATATAGTGCGAAATTGTTAATATATTCTTTGAAAATATTCGGTATTCGGTTTTATCTTATAAAAATAAAATGTGAATTTTAATGACATGTCATTACACATTATCAATAACATCTCAAGTTTTTTTATTGGAACTTATTAGTTTCTCTGGCCTAAAGTCTGTGATAAAATATAATCTTTAATAGATATCTCTTCTTGGTTGATAAATTAAGTTTTTCAAATAAGAAGTTTAATTGAAGTTTTCAATTATATTTTTTCTTACAAATTATCTACTAATTTATTAAAAACAGCATGAATTGTTACAATTTTGAAATTGTTACATAAAATGATATTATAGATGTAGATTTACAATTAACAATAATAAAATATATAAAATCTTTCAGCTAAACCTAAAATATAGGACTGACTATATTAAAATGGTGGAAAACATTGGTTTAACTGGTAAGTTAATTATTTGTTATTAAAAAGTATAAGTAGTATTTTATTTTTATACCAATAAAAAATTAGTTAAAAAATAATAGATAATAACACATATCGGATCTGTTGATGTGTGCATTAATATTTTATGATTTCTTTCATAACTAAATATATTGTTGCTTTTTATTACAAAAAGATAATTTGTTGGTCATTGATTTAATATTTAAGCAACCTTTATCATCAATTATTTCTTAATTTTATTATTTATAACTTCATGGTAATCATAGTGTTTCTTATTTAATGAAGTGAGATTATAGATTATAGACAATAACAAAAAACTTTGATTATATCAATAGCTCTACGTTTATTTATTATTATTTGTTTTATATATTATTTGTATAATATATTAAAAAATTTATTTGATTGGAATAATTGATAAAAAAATTTTTTTTTAGAATTGAAAGATATTGTAGGTTTACTGTCAAAATGAATTAGGATTAGAAATTCAACAAATAATAGTTTTAATACTCTTTATTGACAGATTATCTTTTGATAACTTTTATAAATGTTGTATGTGAACCAAAAATTATAGATCTTAGCATGCCTGGATTTTATTCTTAAGTAATGGTTGTTTTCATTTTTACATAAAATTCTCTGTCTCTTTATTTAAACTTTTTTTTAATTGTACTCTATAGTTTCCATTTTTTAATTTTGTGACTTCTTCCATTTTATTTTCAACTTTTTTATTCAGTCTTTCTTTCATGTATATCTTTACTTTCCAATTTTGATACTAAAATGTTGTATTAGCTCATTAGCTAATAAGCTTGTTAATACTTGTATAAATATCTATTTGCTATTTTTCATGTATTCTTTATTTTTCATTATTAGTATAGAAGTATATATTAAAACTTCATGACAAGAGATTGATTATGCAGGTCTACCAAAAAAATGTAGTTTAAATTTTCATTTCAATTTTCATTTTACAATGAAAATAAAAGACTGAATCAATTAAACATGCTCAGTTGAAACAGATTAACCAATGTTTAGTTGTCTAAACAAGAAACTAAATAAGAAAGTATGTCAATTCTACAGGACATTTTCTGTTCACCAACTCTAACATCAAATAAGCTATTTATTGAAGTTGAATCAAGTTTATCCTTTCAAGGTTACATTTTGGACAAATTTTGCAATGGTTATATTGGGACAAATTATCCCAGTGACTTTTAATTGCTCGCTGGTGAAATATAATCAAGGCTTCGCCTCTGTTGTCGCAGAGCTTCGGTGATCAATTCTCACATGCTATGGAATTGCCAATACTTTCCTGGCCTAGGTACGTCATCTATTATTTATCCACCGAAGCCAAAATTAGCATGTTACCAACTGAGCCGTGACTAGGAAATACTACTTTCAGGCCACTGGATAAAAAATAGTGTATGCACCATGGATAGGAAATTAGCAAGTCCATAGCACGTATTTGACAACCTCGCCTTTGCCTCAATTGTCAATCCTCGCGTGCAATGGAATATTGAAAGAATGATTTCGCACCATTTCTTACCACTGTATAATCACTCTCTTCAAATCTCGATATGGTAAGTTAAATAGCTTACGAGCTATGGTCTCATAAACAAATTAACTAATTGTTAGTTTGGATGATCTGGAACATTATCGTTTATCGCACTTATTTTTTTCATATAAATTTCATTATAATTCATTGAAATCTATAATTTAAAAAAAATATTTGAACTTCACAACTTGTAAAATTGTTTTTGATATTCCCTCTGGAAAGCACGTACTTTTCGAACACTCGGCCAAAAACGTGCTGTCAAAAACGAGCTTTCCACACGTATCGAAAAATACGTTTCGACATATGTTCGGGAAAGAGTTTCTCGTCTCGTGTGCTTTTCCATCTTCGCTTCGCTCGGGCGTAAACGCTACCCAAGACATTTATTACTCGTAATCCAATTATCATCGTTGTGTCAAAGTTTCTTAATATTCTTAAATTTTTTTCTATGTTAACTTTAAGTTAAAAATAAATAAAATATGGTTTTAGTGTATTTTTCTTCAAGAAACAACTTTCCATTTTATTTTTGAAAAATCACAAAATAAAATCACAGAACATTCCAGAACTTTAAAACAGTGAAGTTCATTGAACTTCAAAGCGATTGCCGTGTTGAAAATTATAGGTCGCAGTGGATTTTTTATGTTATCAAGGGAAATGTTACTAAATGTGTCAAAAATCGATGCCGTGGTGAGATATCGTTTCACTGAATAGTTTCTATAATTTTTTGTTGTTTTGTTTGATAAATATGAAAACCTTTAAATTAATACGCGTACTCCCAAAATCTTAATAAACAATATAGTATAAACAAATTTTTCATTTTAGTTGTAATTTTTTATATCAGGTTCTAATTTTTTTGGGGACAATCAAAAGTTGATATTGAATTCGGATGCAAAACTATAAAACACTCTGAGGAGTACCCCAAATTCAGTAGTTTTCATTCATGACTAATTTTTCCATAAGAAGACAAAAAGTATTTTATTGATTCCGCCACTAGCCGAAGTTAAACACATGATCATACAACCAATTTAAGAAACTTTTTGTAAAACAACGATTATTTAACTAATTTCATGAGTTCTAATATATTGTGCAAAGACTGAAATATTTCAAATTTTTAAAATTGTACCGTTATGATCACAAATTTGCCAATAAGTAACGATAATTTCAATAAAGTTATTGGTGTTGAACCATATACAAAATGTTATACAATAAATTTTAAAAATACTCAAAAATATTTAATTCAAATAAGTTAACTGACTTTGGCCAATTTACAAATTTCATAACATTAGAAAAGGATATGATTAATTAAACTAAAACAGAATAATGTGTACACCAGATCAATTGTATGAAACTTTTATAGATTGGTCAGATCAATTGTAAATTGTTGGTGTTACTGTTGTTATTGTTATTTTTGCTATTATTCTTATTATTACTTCAATAATTACGTTCATGTAAAACGCTGTAGAGGTACACTAGGTACATACATTTATTAATAATGCATACTGTATGAATGTTTAGAATTTGACTACTCAAGTCAAACTGAATATAGGATTCAGAGTTTTCATCTTTGATAATATATAATCAATAGTTGATCGAAAAAGAAATTAAATATCATATTCTTTAAATAGAATCTATTTATTTATGAAATAAAGTCTAATACAGTTTAAAAAACAGATTGCGCACGTAGGACAATTCTGGAAAGTAAATCTGACGGCACCGCATACCTGAAAACTAACCGCTATGCCTGGGTACACGTTCGCGGAGTGGTCTATTTATTTACACCGATAACACATTATCGGTGATCTATTTTCAACACAATTTCTATGACTAGGGCACTACGAGCTTCAATGTTTTTTTCCTTCGCAGATATAACAATTACCACTAAAAGCTTAAAAACGACCTAATGTAGTCGTGTCACTATCTTGTTGCTGCGTATTTTGCTTCTGAGGATCTAGGTTGGTTCGTGGCAACCGCTATCTCGTTTTCTGAATTCACGCCGCCTTTTTTTTCTCACCGTATCTTGCTTTTTTACAGCTGGCCTTTTCTATAGATGTCACTTCTATACTTGCCCCAGTCTATACTACCGCAACCGTGGCCGATTTTGGGGTCAGCTTCGTCGTGTTGTTGTAGACCGCATCTGCGACCTACATACTATCTGCTGTAGGAGGCGGCTACCAGCTCTTTTCTCTTCCACGCTGACGCTCGAACTGGCAACCTACCTGCTTCAGTTCTCATAGTTAAGAAAAGTTCTTTCGATAAAGAAATCGAGTGAACGTACGGTGCAGTCCGTCCTGACATATCATGATCTGATGCCAGTCGGAGGAAGGGCGATCGAACCATTGGAATACATTAGAAGACTGTTAAATAATTACTGAGAGATTCTCCTTCTGCTTGCGTAACCGCGATTCTTGGTATAAGTCGGCTCTTAAAATATTTTTCGAACTTTCCGTTGAAGCCCGAAAGAAAATCTTCTCAATTTTCCTGGCTTAATTCATTATTCTTATATCAAAGGGCCACCCTTTTTGTAAGCACCACTACTGTTGCCTCCAATACTTCCTTTACCTCAAGATCGTAAAAGTTTTGGCATCGCATCAAGTCTCCCAAAAAACTATCTACGTCCGAATCGCCGCTCCCAGAAAATTCTAATGATCACACTCGAAAAGCGCTTACCGTGTCTGCCAGTTTAAGGTTGATATATCGCAGCGGTGTACGAAGGTCCGAGCGTATAGATGTTTTCTCACGCCTACGCTTGCGATTAGCCGACTTCACAGCGTCGATTTCGTACGCGTCCGAATCCAAGGAGTCATTCTCGCTATCACTTATTTCACTCTTATACCGGTTTGATGTTTTCAACATAAGCTTCTCTTGATTCGGAATTCTCGATTTGATTACTCAGTCGCTGATTCTGACATTTTTTCTTCTGGACGCCCCGCAGTACTTTCTCCAACAATTTTTCCAGGCTTTTCTTTACCATTTTTGACTCCTCCGGGGCGGTCGAATTACTCGCGTTTTGTTGTGAATTTGAAAAAACGCTAGTCGACAGCGTGCCTAACTTTACGTCCGAGAAAATTCCATCGTCGTCTCATTCCTCTTCCGCAGCGGGTGTCGCCGGCCCATCTTCAAGCACTCATTAGGGTGTTGAGAGAAACTTCGCTCCGTCAAGCTCGCGCATATTAGATGTTTGGGCTGTTCTCACTCGTTTCTCTCTTTCTAACGCGAGAGCCGCTTCATCTACCCGATACAGATGGTTTGCGCTGCTCAACAAGGCTTCGTGTACCTCGCGACGGAGGACCAAGAACGGCAAGCGATTGATCAGTCTGAGAATCGATTCGTCATATCCAAGCGCAGCAACGACAGCAAGATGGTGACTATTGTAATGGTTTAATCTGATTTTTCCGTTGCTGCATAATGGCAACCTACCATACACCCGAAAATAAGAAGTGCTATTAAAACTAAGGCGCTACCTCACTACGACATTTGATCAAAATCATTACCATATAAGGAGCGCGATATCGCATCTATGCGAAATCTATTGTTTACTATGCAAAATTTTTAACTTCAAGTTTTTCCATGTACAAAACCACTTTGTTAGTGAATTTCAATGCGCTGATCCTGAATCTAAATTTGTTATGTGTATCAATTAATTAACATTAAACGAAATTTAATTTATTATTATAAATCATGAATAATTTTACAATAAATAAATGCATTGCGAATTCAAACATCACACAGCGAAAATAGCATTTTAAGGAAGTGAAGCAAGAATTCGACATGTTGGTAACTGATTTTTGAACAAAGTTATCAATAAATAAAAAATTTATACTTTACTTAAACATTTAAGATAACGCAAAAACTAGAATATATATTTCTGAAGGTTTTTGGCGCGGTGAATCCTTTTTTTAAGGTGATGTTGCACCGAATCTTAGTGTTTCTCATGTTTCAAGTTTGGGAACCGAGATAGAGACGAATGGGTCTGAACCACAGTTACATTAAGGTAACAGTAGGTTTCGATTTTATTCCATATTTCGGTAAAAACATAAATAATTAGAAGATCCAAGCAAGAATTGAAATTATTCCCTTAGCCATTTTTGAAAAAACGATTTTCAAAATCAAAAAAATTTTTGTTCTTCAATTCAACAATTAATATGTAACAATGAGATTTTATATCTCACTTGATCGGTATTGAGCGGTCTCTCGCCTATAGATGGACATCTTGCGAACCAAATTTCTGCCTAAGATCGCTTATGAGGGCTCCTTAATCCCCTTCGAGAGGTTTTAAAAGGAAGGAGAGCCTAACGTGAGAGTCAGAAGAAAAGGAGATAGTCTATTGATAACAAGTGTGTGGTGTGTGACGAAGAAAGTACAGGAAGATTCTCCAGCAAGGGTCGTGAAGAGATCTACCGGCTACTTCAAGCATACACACGCGTACACCAATAACTAGCAACTGTCAACTACGACAGCGACCTTGAACCTGCGAGTCTACCGCAGATTTTGAGATAAAATTGAGATGAACTTAACTATCTCGCTATAATATTTGGAGGACTACTCTACAAACGGCGGATTATTGTATGATAATATCAAAAAACAAGTAAGACGTACTTTTTCTAATAAGAACAATGGCTAATTAGAAAGAGTTTAGTAAAATCGCTTGACGGCCTTTGACGAAAATAATAATTCCGATTGCCGTTTAAATTAGAATCATTAATTGTATCGTAGTATTGAAAATTTGTAAGCGTGATCACGTAAACTTTAAACCTATTTAATAAAATTAACAATTGTTATTAATTATTAATTTAATTTGTTATTGTCACGATCTTGTTCCTGAACTCTTTATTGTTTGCCTTTTCATATAAGTTCTACCGATATTTAAATGAGATGTTTACGCTGGCCATTTAATATAAGTCCAGCATAATATTTACCTCATGTCATTATAATATAAAAGAAATTTCTACAAATAGTATATACTACTAATTGCTGAATAAAAAAAAGATATAATAACTTGATGTAAAGTATAAGTAGCGTCATTCGTAA